TCACAAATATTATTCCTGTACATTTTTCGTACGAAAAAAGAAGCCAAACAAACACCTTATAATCCAAAACTATTCTACATTGTATTCGGCGATGAAATACGATTTTTATCACAAATAACTAGAGACAATATTCATTATGACTATCGCAAAGTTTTCGACATAGTAACAGAAGTACTTAATCTAGCAATAACAATCTTTCCACTCCGACATCCTACGATCAAACAAATTAAAGCTAATGTTGAATGTTTTCGCGCAGTTTTAATTCTTTATTCTTTTAAGCCACGACAGGAAGCTGAATTTCTAAAAATCGTCGTTCTAAACTTTGTATTTTTATCCGTGATTCCTAATAAAGCATGGAAACAATAGCAAATTAATATCACATATAGGCACTTAAAGAGAATACACAATACTTCAAAACATCTAACAAAAACAACTGCAAAATTCAGTTCAAGCATCTTTGCCTTCAAGTTACAGATCCTATGTAATTACCAATCTAAACCTTTGCGCATGTAAACATTATTGATATTCATTTGAATTTTTTGTTTCAATAGATCACTGGAAGCTGTTTCAAGTGCTTTTCCAAAATTGTACAATGATGCTTCGTATTTTCCATTGCGACAACAAATTTCTCCTAGATTGTTGTGCGCGTCAGCTATGTCACGATGTCCTAACGGAAATTCTTTTAATATAGTCCGGTAAAATCTTTCGGCACTTGTCCGTTCTTGTATTTGAACTAGTATTTCTCCTACTCGAAGTAGTGAAGTTGTTCCACTAAATTCTTCTTCTTCTAGACAATCACTTAGAATTTTAAGCTTTTCATTGTCTTTTCTACATGTTGGTGTCAATTTAACACTCCAATATTCATTGAAATCACTTTCTTTAATCTGTTTAATTGATTCTATCTGAAATGTAGCTTGTACAGAAAATAGTATTTCTTGCTCACTGTCACCGAAAATACTGTTATTCTTTGTACTGGTAAATGGAATTGCACAATTGTTTTGATTTATATCTATTTCAAATAGCACAACTGCTACGTAGGACAGACAAAATGCACCATAACCAGCAAACATCATCGCAACTTCGGGGTCACAAGTTGTTGACCAAAATCCATTAATCGAAATAAGACGATGCTTATTCATTATCAAACTCCATAATTCAGATTTGAGCATACGTTGGCCACGATAAACAGTTAAACAGTTTTTTGTCGACGCTATTGTCGATTTCTTATGCTGATGAGTGATCGCATCGTGTAAATCTTTTGCATAAAACCGAAAACAAAATATACCGTAGCTATTTCTATCTATACGAAATGTTTCATTTAACAACCGATAGAGAAACGTATCGTTTGCATACCACTGTATAGCATCTTCTGAAGAATATGTTATTTCAAATTTATTAATAGCTGTTATGTACTGTTGATTATTTTCATATTTTGATCGACAGAACGACAACATGTCATTTTTAGCCGTATTGGAATTTGACGGCATACGAAGAATCAGTTCAACAATTAAATAATACCAGATGTAGGTGTAATCCAAGGTTATATTTCGAGTAGATCGTTGATCAAATTTTAAGTATCCATGAGGCAATAAACCTTTTGAATATAAAGCAATGTCTCTAGTTATTTGTGATAAAAATCGTATTTCATCGCCGAATACAATGTAGAATAGTTTTGGATTATAAGGTGTTTGTTTGGCTTCTTTTTTCGTACGAAAAATGTACAGGAATAATATTTGTGA